GGCAGGAGCCTGGGAGCTCAGCGCAGCCCAGCAAAAGCCTCTTCCAAAATCGTGTTTCTTGGAGCAAGCACTCAAAAACACCTGGAAAGCATGGGGGCCTGCTCCCTCGCCACGCAGCCCCGCTCACAGCGCTGTCCCCTTGCCCCAGCTCTGTCTCAGCCAGGCCGTTGAGGCGCAGCTCCTCCAGCTCTCCCTCTGCCTCCTCAGGAGATGACCCGGCTCAGGGTCGGCATCGGGCGGCCGGAGGGTGATGTGACAGTGTCCAGCTACGTCCTGTCTCCGTTCAGCACCGAGGAGCAGGAGAGGCTGGAGCAGGTCCTGGCCCAGGCAGTGATGTTCCTGCTGGAGCACATCCTGTGTAGGAGGACACCCACAGGGGAGCCGGGGGACAGGGGCTGATGCGAGCCCTGGGGACCTGCATGGCCAATGGACAGGGTGCTGCAGGCTCCCCGGGGTGACAGTGGTGCGGAGCAGAGCTGGCCCTGCTGGGCAGCCTGGCCAGGCGCTGGGGCAGCCCCAGTCTGTCCCCAGACAGATCCAGGCAGCTCGTGTCTGACTCAAACCCCTGCAGCGGCTTCATACAGCACTTTGGCACAGAAATGAAATAAACCCTTGCCCCTGGCTCTGCCCTGCTCCTGCCTCTTTCTCCCCTGCTCTGCCTAAAAAAAACAGTCCCTGGCTCTCTGGCTTAAATCCATGTTCTCGGTTCCACCAGCCCAGGCAGGAGGGAAGCTTCCAGTGGGAAGTGAGGAGCGATGGGAGTGACTTCCACAGGGTCCAAACCACTTTATCTTTGTTGAGAAAGTGTGGCAAGCACAAGTCGCCTGGAAGCTCGTAGCTCAGCAGCACACGAGGGCTGCTCCCACTGAGCTGCAGCAAGTTTCAGGGCTGGCCTCATAGTTTTTGTGTTAGGTGATTTTAAGCCAAAACCCTGGTGTTTCCAACAGCTGGAGGAGTTCTGGCTCCTCCTCGCAGACCTGCTACGGGTCTCATGGCAGAGGGGGCAGCCCGAGAAGTGGTGGCTCTCCGCCATCACTACCACAGCTTCCCAAAGCCCCAGGCTCTGCCAGCACGTCCTGTCCAGCTGCGTACCCTGTGAGCGCGGCTGCACTGAGCCCCTGCGCGGGCAGCTCCTCCCTGTGTCCCAGCAGGTGCTGGAACAAGCGCTGTGCCCCTTGCTGGGTCACACGTACCGCAGCACTGCTGCCGCTTCCGTTCTCCACTCCAGCTGGCACCAGACCTTCCTCCGTTCCATCCCCAGCTCTCGGCTCCTGAGCTCCTCCCATAGCATTGAGGCCACCTGCGCCCAGGGGACAGGCAGGGAAGCAAAGGTGTCCCCCCCCTGCCATCACCTCTCCACCCAACCTCTCCACCCTGCTGTGTCACCCATGCCTGTACTGGCTGGGACCCTGCGGTTGCAGATCATGCACTTGGCCATCTCTTTCTCCCCGTTTTCCAGTAGATCCGCTCAGATCTTCAGGTCCTGTGTGATCTCCTGGAGCTGGAAGTTCTCCCTCAGGAGGTCCTTGCTGTAGCTGTACATCCTGCACTGAACAATGCTCTCCAGGAGCACTTAATGGTCTTGGCCGTCCCACTGTAGGTCTCAGCTACCAAAGCTCCCACCCACTGCTCCATCACCTTCATCAGGCTATAGGGAGGAGTGCTGCCCCCCAAGCCCTGGTGAAGGCAGCAACCTCCCATCCCGGGGCTAACCCCAGCAGCTGCGCCAGAGCCAAAACGGGCCGCCGGCTGCCAGGCAGGGGTGGAGGGGTGGCAGCTCTTGGGGCCTGGCAGGGAGCTCACATCTCCCCAGCTCACCCAGACTAGGGCTAGTTGCAGTGTTTTCACAGAAATTGCTCCTCCACCCCAGAAAACCCTCAGTTTTCAACCAAACATCACCCTGCCGAGAAGCTGAGGTGATTTTGGAAACAAGCCTGGGCTCTTGGAAAGCAAACACCCTCCTCCAGAGCTGGCCACAAAGGTGACAGATGCCGGAGCCCAGCAGGGCTCAGCTGCACATCTCGGTGCTCAAGCTGGTGTTGGGTTTTCAGCCCCAAGGCCAAACCCAGCGCCAGTGAGCGAAATCATTTCCAGCAGCGGTCCCAGGGGAGAACCAAGCTCCTCAGAAATGCCACCCACCTTTTCACCTCTGGACCCCGAGAGAGAGCTCCAGTCTCCCTCTCCCACCCCACCTTCCTTCCTCCCTTTCCCCATTACATATTTTATTCCCAAAGCAACCCCTGGCTAGGGGAACAGCCAGACCCTCACCACCACAGCTCCGAGGTGACCCCAGTGGGGTATGCCCTGGGGATGTTATGTGGGGGGGATGCCACCCAGCACAGCCAGCACCCGGCACGTCAGCTCAAACACAGTCTGTTTTAATCCTTCCTGGGCTTCAGCCCTTCAGGCACAGGCGAGGGACAAGCCCGGTCAGCGGCAGGACGTGTGCCACCACGGGAGCCAGCCCCCGGCCTGAAAAACACTCCCCAGAGTCCAAGCCGGCGGGAGACGCGGCGCTGGCGTTGCTCAGGGCAGCGGTGGAGACGTGTCCTCGGCAGAGACGGAGCACAGCGCTCCCCCAGTCCCTCTGCCTGGCAGGGAGAGGGCTCTCTGGGAGCCCTGGGGGTGAACCCTGCCTCGGGTGGATTCGCCACATGCCGATTCAAAGGACCCCGGGAGGAATCCAGCCAGGGCGGCTGCGGCTCTCAAGCGGGAGCGGGCAGGATCACGCCGCTGGCCCGCCGTGCTCCCAGCTGGGTCACGATCCCTCGTCCCTAGGAGGCAAGGGCGCAAATGTTAGCGGTCAAGGCAGGAGCGGTCCCGACGCGTTCACGCCTGCAGGAGGGGCGGTGGGAGGGTTGTTTTCCAGCCTCCCCCGGTCTGGCTGCTCCCTGCTCCCGGGGACGCTCCGCTGCCA